GACATAGACACGGCTTTAAATGTTTTTCCTACATACCTCTAGGTAGCAGGTGGCTCGTGAGTTCTGTTAATGTATTTCTCAGTATTACCTATGCACAAAATTAGAGTTGCACCTTTGTCTCCATTGAAAAAATGTACTTGCTTTTATGCATATCACTGAATAAGTCAGTTTCATGGCTGACATCTCACAGGAGGCAGGTTGCCTTCTTCCAAATGTCCTGCACACTCTGCTGCTCATCTCTACTTTTCTGTGGAAGTCCCTGACACATTCCACTCCTTGTGCAGCCCGAAATGGAGCAGTCGTCAGTTCCGCTTTGCTGTTTTCATCTGTCTATATACAGAACTGTCTTGCAACTGAATAAGAAAAAGCCATGAGGCAGGCAGTGAAGAGAGATCCTTTGCATCCTAAACCGGACAGCTTCCTGTTCTACCCTACCCTCTGGGATTTGGTCAAGTAGTTGCTTTCTTCCAAGCTTTCATCTAATCTGTTAATTCAAATGCTTAATTCCTTGATCAGGGCTCAGTCTTAGCACTAAAAACCTAATACTGTAGGGCAGCACAAACGCCTCTGGCTGTTCACTGTAATCTATGAAATGGCTATACAGTGCTACACTTCTCAGACACTTGATTTGTGAATCACAGACTCTAATTTAGTGATGGCAAAGCATGATCTCAGGCTGAGTCTGAGCTGTCTTAACAGAAGATATTTTTAGTGTTTGCACAACACTTAGTGTGATGGACCTTAGCCTGGTTGTATCCTTTATGTCCATTATAAATATTAAATAATAATCATACTTGCTACTGACTGCTTAGAAACCTTTTGGTCATATTCCCTTCATTTGCCCATACTCCCTTGATGCGTGAACATCAGGAGGGATGTACAAATGCCAGAAAGCCTGTGTCAACTAGGTTTCTTTAGGCAGAGCAATCTTCCATTAGCTAGTTTATTGCCATGTTGCAGACTGTTCTGCTACTTTGCATGCAGTGTACCCAAGTGACATGGGCATTGACTTTTGAGGGCACTTTTACATGTGCTCCATTACATTCTGATTAGAATGTGTTGGAGCAGGCTCAATTAATCAACGTGCTGCAGCATCTCATATATTCAGTGTCCCATGTTTCAAAATGGAAGCAGGGGCATTTTAACTAAAGCTTGTTGAATGAGCTTGTTATAGCACCCCAGTGCCATTTTGAAATGTAGGACACTGAATACACGAGATACTACCGGTGTTTCCTGAGCAGCTCCCGAGAGCCACTCTAATTAAAATGCCCTCCCCCCCCAACAACACCCCAGAGCATGTGTATAGGCACCCCGAGAGTCCATGCAGTACACAATATTAACTTCCCTGAACAGGGCTAAAGAGAATGCTTCAAAATTTAGAGCAAGTGTGCATCAAAGGACATTTTTTCATCAGCCACAATGTTAAAAGAAGTACATAATTGCCCCAGGAAAACACTGGCACAATGGTAGCTTTAATTCTACTGAAGAGGGCTTTCTCTTTCCTAGCATGCACAATTTAAAATAGTTAGAGCTATATGAATGCACTATGCCATACAAAATGAGTGGTACTGCTTACCTTGATGAATTCAGATTGCCAATCAAATCTTGCCCCATCTTTTGTTGTGGTTATTGACTCTACATCTACAGCAAAGAATCACTATACCTCTGTGTCATACCTGGCTGTTCATTTTAAATCAGCCACTTAACAGTCAAAACTGATGAGGTGTCTGGAGGAATTGGTATTAGGTGCAAAAGATTCCTCTTTTGATGATGTATTCCCTGGTATTGAATAAAACTGCTGCAGATAACCGAGTACCTTAAATATTTTTGAAGAGAAGGGCAGTTTTGAATAGGAGCCTTGTAAAAAAGCCATTGAGGAAAGTATTTGATGAAAAATGAATGAAAATAACTTTGGACTAGTCTAGACTGCAACTTTCTCAGGTGGAACTTTTTGCCAGCGGTTACACCATCTCTCCCAAGTGAAAGATGCCTTTTGCCACCACTGCACAGCCAGAAGAAGGCATGTGTGGAGCCTGCTGTGCCTTACGCTGGTTGCAGCACTCTCTTCAACTCTGGTACTTTCTGTGGGTGCACTTCATGCTCTTCTGGCGCACACGCTGCAGTGGACCTCCATCAGAAGCAAGTGAAAGGGCACACACTGTAGGAGCTCGGTGGCAGCTGCTGTCTGCCAGAACTTTTGCTGGCAGAAGCAAGTATGTGTAGTAGACAAAGCATTGGTAACTAACATGATCTGAGTCAATACCATGACTAAATACTTGAAGACATTTAACAAGATATTTGCAAAGGGATATATGACGTACTTGTTTTATTGTGTGTGTTTCTACAGGAGTTCATTAGACTGGGCAGTCTTAGTAAGCTGTCAGGAAAAGGTTTACAGCAGCGGATGTTCTTCCTGGTAAGTAGCCAAAACAGTTGGTATTGAAGACTAGAACTGTGAATAAATTGCACATTTTAAAATAATCTGTTCTAAATGAACACAGTATATATCTCATAACAGGACTTAGAGCTACTTGTTGAGGATAAATCAGTCTTGTAGCCAAAGCCACCCCGTCTTCTTCCTCCATTGTAAACAACACATACAAAAACGAAATCATTTATTCATTTTGATGATGCTTGCAATGTATCCTGGCCTCCCTGTGACTTTGCCACATGCAACAAGAAGTAGAATGGCAGCTACTCCTCCCACCACAAGAAGAAAATAACGTTTTGCAAGGCCAGGAAAGCTTCAAGGAAGCTTTAGCACATACATGGTCCTCTGTCAGCTTTAGCACATACATGGTCTACAGCCAGGTCCATGCAGGCATTATGGTCTCAAGTTGCAGCAAGGGAAGTTTAGGTTACATATTAGGAAAAACTCTCTCACAAGGAGGGTAGTGAAGCACTGGCAGAGTTGCTGCAGTGGACCTCCACAGAGCCATCAGAATTAAGTGAATGGACACAAACTGTAGCAGCTTAGTGGCAGCTGCTGTTCGCTGCCAGAACTTTTTCTGGCAGAAGCAAGCACCCAGAGTGGTTGTGAAATCTCCATCCCTGGAGGTTTTTAAGACCCAGCTAGACAAAGCCTTGGCTAGGATGATCTAGTTGGCGGATGGTCCTGCTTTGAGCAAGCGGTTGGACTAGATGACCTCCTGAGGTCCTTTCCAACCCTAACTTCCTACGATTCTGTGATTTCCCAGTTTTGGTTCTGTCTCATCCCGATGACACCCTTCCATGTTAATGGCATCTGCGTGTACCTGCCCTTACAATTTGAGGTTACAGCACTAACTGAGTCCCTCTCTCACCAGCACTTCGTGTTTTCAGGGCAACTATTTTTCCTCTTTTTGGCTCTACAAAACTAGACTATCTGGGCCCCCCTAAATAGTAGACCTGATTCCCCTGTCCTCTGCATTTGGATCTTCAAGAAATATTTGTCCCAGTCCAGTTAATGTAGTAAAGCTGAAATGCGTAAGAAAATGCACTGGGCTCACTGCCTTTTCAGTCAAGCGTGCAACAGAGCACACGTCAACTTGAATGAGAACTATGAGCCAGTCCAATGGGACAAATGCTTTCTTGACCTGCTGCTGTATGAAGGAAACAGTGTTGCCCGGCCTTGCATGGCAGACCTCTTCAGTGTGGAGGGTTATATGGCAAATTCTGGATTGGGTCAGATTAGGCCAAAACAGTCACTAATTGCATGGAAGTGTGGGACAAAAAAGCCACTAAAAAGGGAGCCTGTGTACCATGAATTTAAACCTCATCTCTAATGACTGCTACTTATATTTTCTTGCACTTCACAGCATGGGCAACTGGTGCCTCCCGAGTCTGGGGGAGGCACCCACAGATGCCGCTGGTGGCGTTGGCAGTAGGGACAGGGCTGGTGAGCACCTGCAGATGCTGCCAGTGGTGTCAGCGGCAGAGACGGCCTTGTAAGGGGGGGGCCACGTGCCCCATCCGCGCCCCCCCCCCGTGTCCTTCCTAACAGTCACTTATGCTTCACAGCCTTTTTTATCAATCCAACCTTCATGCACTACTAAAGGGCAGCTCAGCTGTTAACTTGTCTGCACAATGAGAAGGTGAAGAAAGGTACATTAGGCAGAGTTGGGAATACAGTTTAGGGCTAATTTCTCTTCCCATCCTACTTTAGCATACAGCTGCCTGGCCAAACCATAACCAAAGCAGCAGTCTCCTTTGTTTTTGTAAATGTGTACTTCTCCAGCACTTTCAGCCCAGAGATGCATTGTTTCACCCTGCAGAACCACACAGCCTTTCCATTTATTTCAAGGGGTGGCACTCAGACACTTCCAGAGACGAATCCTTGGTTTCACTGGAGGCTTGTGGCTACCCATTTACTCCTGCATCTGCTCAGAATTTTATCCCCCCCCCCAACTTCATAAAGTGGACACAGCTTCAGACTTTTGGTGTGAGCAGTTAAATGGGGGTGGGACAATAGCTTAACAGTCTTACTCCTCTATAAACAGCCTAGTGGTAAAAGCACTAGGCTCGTCAGCCTCAGGACATACACCCCAACAGGACATCAGATTTCTTGTCAAACTGAGTGGGCAACAAAGCAGGAAGATAACAGGGACAGAAGGATAGCAAAGGTGAGGGAACCCAAGCTGAGGGTCCAGAAAGGAAGGTCCTATCCTGCCCTGAAAGAAAAGACACCCTGGGTTCTGGCCCCTGCTCCCAAGGCTCTTTAAGGACTAGTATTTCTGTGCCAGAAAGGTGCTCACAGTCCAGCCTGGTGATGTGGATGCGGTCCTGTGAAATGGAGAATGGGGGTTCTAATCTGCCCCCACGGTTTGTAGGTCTTCCATGTTCTGGACAAATACTACTAGTCTATGGGGACAAAACGTAGGCACTGCAATTCAACTGGTGTCATTTCAGCATCAGAGTCCCTAGTCGAGCTGGTTTGCTATCTACAATTTGGGGGATTAAGCAACAGATCATAGATTTCCTCTAATCCACAGTGCATTGCATCTGCACATGCAAGGTAGGGACAAGCACAGCTACCTGGGGCATCTTGGCATGCAAGTAAAACTTAGTGTAGCAGAGAAAAAAAAGTCTGCCATAAGTTTCTAGTATGACAGCTCCGGCAGCCTCACTGCCTTCTGGACTGAATGGGCCATATTAGGTTTTTTTTTTTCCTATCCTATCCTTAACCACTGCACAAGACTGTCATTCTGGAGCCTGGATTAGCAAGTTTAATATTCTACTCATCACTATCAATTAGTTGCATACCCTGTTGGCAACATGTGTGTTACGTCTCCCTCTAGTGGCTGATCAATGTAAAGAATAACAAATATTTCTACATGCAAAGGCCTATGCTCTAGCTTGTCCCTTTGGCTGGTGATGACAGAATTTGTTTTCATTTTTTCAAACATAGTTTAGGTTAGTTAATTTGGTGAGCATATAGTCTTTAAAGCAGACTTTATAGGTAACTGAGCTTCCCCTAGTTGCACTCTAGCATGCAACAAAGTACAGATGTTGTCGCACATTTTGATTGCTGATGTCCCAAATAGGACATTACAACGATTAAGTATAGTAGGGCTTAACACCCCCCAACACCCTTGTTCTAGAGAAGTACTTCTTCCAGCCAGCTCCTCAGACTCCAGAATAAGAGCCACAGCAGGCTTGAATGGAAAAACTGCTCTTTGGGCTGATCTGCCCACTGTCCTCAGTGAGAGGGATCGATTGTTCATTCTGCTCTGCTCTGTCAGAGTAAAGATAATAAGCACACTGTCCCAATGCTGTGAGGCCAAGAAACATTCTTCCTCAATTCAGTGCAATGGTTCATGGGCCTTTGGGGAGTTGGGAGCTAGCAAGCCCTGGGACCAAGAGGAGGCCCCCAGAAGAGAAAGCAGAGAACCTGAAGAAGGTTCTTCAGGATCAGATGTGATGAAAGGCCACGGTGGGAACATGATCCTGGCAATATTGTCTGGAAACTGGTATTTGGATTCAGATGTTAGTCATCTGTTCATATTAGAGGCTTCTTCCAAGGGACCTAACTGCTCATTGATATTGTTTGACTCATCTTATGTTTGCTTTTTAACCATACTTATTTGTTAGTCAATATGCTCATTCTTGCTTTTCAGTTTAATGATGTTTTGTTGTACACAAGCAGAGGCCTGACAGCATCAAATCAATTTAAAGTCCACGGGCAGCTCCTATTATATGGCATGACAGTAAGTACACTACTACTGTGGGCAGTTAGTGGCTCAGGGAATTAATGGGAGATGTAGCTTTTTATTTTGAATCATATTTTGACTTGGGGCCCACATTGGTAGAGATTGACCTCTTTCTACAGGTTGCTTTATGATCTGCTGCATTAGCAGGCATCATCAGTTTCTTAGTATGGTATGTCCATGATAAAAACTGCTCTCACCAACCAACCAGAGGCAAATTCCAGTCTCAGTGGATCCTAAAGGCTGTAGGCACGTTTGGCTCCTTTTCATATTTCAGCACTTATATACCCACAATGAGGAAAAGTACAGTCTAGTCATTTATGCCTAATCAGTAGCATCTCACCATAAAATAGTGGTTAAGGAATTTTTTGCCAGCTTCACAGCATATTGCCTCCATTAATTTCCTCAGTCCTCTTTGCACTGTTCTTTCTAAATGTACTTTCAGAACCTACTATAGAGAGGGGGTGTTTTTTTCTTTTTGGTTTGTTTTTAAATTCCTGCCACTCCTTGGGATTGCATTAATCCTGAAAGTCTACATTTTACTGACATTGGAGCAGAACATGAGCACACCATACTACAGTTTCCTTAGTGCTGCTATTACATCCCAAGTTTTGTCTACCATTTCCAGAAATCCAGTCACTAATGTATTCCTCTAGCACAGATGAACTCATGCAACACACATTCTTCAGAAATTCAACCGTCTGTTTTCAGGGTTCTAACTGAAAGAAGAAAAACTGTACTTTAAACAAAAAAGACTGTATTTGCTCTAATGCTGATTATAGCTGGAAGAATAATCTCCAGTAGCCTTTTCCATGCCTCTCAGCCCACCTTTTCCCTTTCTCTCTCTACTCAACTTATGAACAGGTCTGCGGGGTTATTCCTTCCTCCATGCTGATGAACCTGTGCTATAGTTTCTAGTCATATCCATATAATCAGATCCAGTACATACATACTTCCTTCAATGCATGCCTAATACAATCTGCTAATATATGGACTTTTGCCTCTTAGATAGAAGAGAGTGAAGAAGAATGGGGAGTTCCTCATTGTCTGACATTACGAGGTCAGCGTCAATCCATCATTGTTGCTGCAAGGTAATGCCATGGAACCATGTATTAAAAGTCACCTACAGAGTCACAATTTGGACAGAATTTTCTTTTGATTAGCTCTCAGCAGAATGCACCTCTGTGCAGAATGATTGTGTACAACAGACTGGTTAAAAACATGAATAACCCCCCTCTAAGTGAATTAGAATAGTATGTGCAGATTGTGATTTTTTTTTTTTTAGCCAAATCAAATAGCAGTTAGACTTATTTAGACATGAGACAATAGCTTAGAAGCCATACTGAAATTGTGATTAAGTTCTGAAGTTGCTTCTAGCCTCAGTTAAACTAAACAAAACTTTGATCTCTGTCCTTAGCACACAGGCTGAAATGGACAAGTGGACTGAGGACATACAGATGGCAATAGATCTGGCAGAAAAAAGCAATGGCCCAGCACCTGAACTACTGGCTAGTAGCCCACCAGACAATAGTAAGTACAGGGTGAAGTGGAGGAGTTACTTAGTGAAAGTAAATTAAGCAATTAATTGGCATGGGAATGTTTCTTGAAATCACGTTTCTGTTTCCTATTAAAAAACATGTTTCCATGTTTTCAAGTTACTGTAAAACATGTTCCAGACTAGTTGTAGCACTGCCCATCTTTCTTCAGGAAGTTGCAACTCAGAGCAACACACCCCCAGATTTACAACCAAACTAAAATACTTCAGTGACTGTTGGACGCTCTAACACTTGAATTGTGTAAAAGTGTTCCTTTGCAAATGCTACACAGATTTCATACGCCTTTTAGCAGAGCTGAACCTTGCTTAACTTTGCCAATCATGTATGTTGTATAGAGCAAGACAGATGCTTTTTCCCTGCATTTCATAGAGTCTCCTGATGAAACAACTGTAGACCAGGAATCAGAGGACGATCTCAGTGCATCCCGCACCTCTCTGGAACGTCAGTCACCACACCGTGGCAACACTACGGTGCACGTCTGCTGGCACAGAAATACCAGTGTTTCAATGATCGACTTTAGTATTGCTGTGGAGGTATCTGCCTCAGAACAATTTGAGCTGCAGAGGTTTCTTCATTGACAATTTCCTTTTTGCCCTACAGCTAGGTAGCTACATGGCATTAAATGCAATGCCTCTCTTTCTGAGGGTTTCAGACAAAACTCAAAGTACACTGAGACCTCGACCCTTAAAAGATGACAGTGAAAACACCCCTATGCCTGCACTGTTCATTAACAAATTTTTAAAAAACAACGGCAACTTATATTCACAAAATTGATATTTTGAAAGTCTAAATGCACTTCCAGATAAAAACAAAAAAATCCCCCTTCTAAACACTGCCTTACATTAAGGCATTGAGCCAACAGTAGGGCTTAAAGGTTATTGTCTCTGGCAACTGCAGCCTGAGTCTTGACTTTCTGTACTACTGATTCACTTTCTTTACTTCAGCCTTTTTTCTTCTGGAAATTGTGTGTTCACTGTTTAATTTCATTTGCCTTACTCTTCACTTGTATTTTCTGCATTGCAGCTAAACCAATTTCAAATAAAAGTAGCAATTCTATGAATATTTTGATAGAAAAAATCCCAATGTTAGATATATAGAACTTACTCATTTTTTAAAATGGCTGAAATATAAATAAGCCTGTTTCCAGTTTTCAGTGAGTTTTTAAAGAAGTGTGAGAAATTCTGTATCTAGCTCCTGTTTAGATGTTCTTCCTTGAGAATGGAAAGCATATTTCAAAAGAGATTGTAAGGAGCTCTGACTTCCTCAGAAATTAACATAGTGCTATAAGAAAAGGGTTAGGCAATATCTAATTAGACTCTAAATTGGTTTAACTTCCCTAAGGCACCCCTAGGCTACATATTTCACTGGAAAATGCCTCTAGGTCACTTTAGTTATCATGTTTATTAGGGGCAGGGACTTTCTATATCTTAATGCTGTCTTAAGCTAGATCTCAATTTACAAGAATGGGAGGTATCCATAAGCAGCGATCACAATACCTCTATAGAGAAGGGGTGTTTGAGTCTTCACAGTCAGAATTTGAGAGTCAGGTCCTTGAATTAGAAAATGCCCCTAGAGTACAACTCACAAGCTTGGTTTTGATCTCATCCATGTGACCTTGCTTTTCTTGGGTTTTCCATAACTGTATATTAATGATATGCCACAGTGTTGACCACCTAACAGAGGGTAGGGAAAACCCTTTAGCATGTTACACTTATGGTAGCTTCCAGCTATTTGCTACTTTTGCCCGTATCTACAGGGGCATATCTACACTGTGGTTGCAGAACTGAGTGACATGTCAAGTAGAGACACTCAAGATACCATTAAATGAGCTAGTTCATATACCTATAGCAATCTCACTTCAGCAACATAGCACTCAGCAAGTACTCAGTGGGGGCCAACATTTTTGTCAGGCATACCACATAAAAGTCCCATACCCTTCCCAAGTATCACTCCGATCCCTTTCTCCCACGTGCTGCTCAGCTTTCATTCAGCTTTCTGCCTGACCTGATGCTTTACTTTCTTCTCTCTGCCACTGTGCTGGCTGCCCCATCCCCAATTTGCTATGCGCCATGCACAGAGGCTACCCATGCCACTTGTGGCATCTGTGCTGCAGGCTGGCCCACCCCTGTAGTAACTTACACTGCTTCTTGGTTAATGAAAAGCTAACTTGGATGTCTCTGCACAGCACTGCAATTACTTCTGCGACCAAAGTATAGGCATCCCCCTTTAGTGTAGAAATATGGCCATTTCTCAAAACTAGTTTAATAAAAAGTTACTGTACTAACCTTCTTCTAGCATGAAAGTAAAGAAAATTAGCATTTGAGGACCAACATTACTCTAGATTACTCTGTCCTTCCCATGAGTCCAAGTAAAGTGATGGAAGCTGAACAACCTAGAGGCACGTACCACAGTGTATATGTACATCGTCAGTTCCACAGCTGTTCCATCCTTGGCAAGTTACATCACATCGTTCTGTGTGTGGCGCTCACTTCAGCATTACTGTTTATTTTCTTTGTCTCTCCTCCCTCTCTGTCGTTCCTTTGGTAGAAGATCCTCTCACTGTCAGTGACTGTACTTCCTTACCTGCTGGACTGATCAGTGATCAGAGGCCTGTTCCCATTTCATATGTCTGCTGGTACCGAATGCAAAGCCTGTCCTTTTATGATATTCTCCAGAGTAATGAGGTAACAAAAACCCCCTAAAAATCAAGGAATACATGTGTGTAATCTAGACCAAGCACACAGCAATCCAAACTACAAAGAGAGACTAGGATTATTTAAAACTGAATTTTAAGCCCAACACTGACTGTTGAAATAAACTATATTAAGGTAAAATATTCTTGATATTTGACTTATTACTTCACTGCATTTTCTGCATGTAGAATTAAGTGTTCATTGCTGCAGATTCAGCAGTTGTTTTCAGCATTGAGGACAATGCAGTTCTTTGCACAACGTTGAATGGTAAAATGACCCTCAGCAAGTGACTTTCTCCTGCCTTCCAAAGGACAAAAATACATTAATCACCATTGCTTAGGGCAGAGTCCATCAAAAACTCTCCTCAAAAAAATCAGGCTCCTAAGAAGCTGACAAAAGCCAAGCTTTTTTTTTAGTTTAAGATCTGTGCAGTGCAGATAAAAAAGCTAGGGAGGTGAAATAAGGTTTTCAGCTTAAGTATGATATTTCTCAGTGAATATCTGTCAGTGAATAGTTTCATTCCAATAAGGGGAAATAAAAAAAAGGTGAAGATTTAAGGAAAGGTTAAAGAGATAATTACTACTTTATACTCTAGGCTTAATGCATCAATGAAGAAAAAGTCCACTAATTGGCTAATTTAAGAGCATACTGGTATACTGGCTTAAAAATAATTGGAAGTGATAAAAATACATTATGCTCTCCCACCTCCCTACCCCCCAGAAAAGGTTTCTGCATAAAACAAGGTAACAGCAGATCGTTTTTTCTTAGAAATAAAAGTATAGGCAAGCCTCACTTAAAGAATGAGAAGGACATTGATTCTAAAAGTTTCCTATTCTTTTGTTCTTTCTACATTAAACTAATTTAAACTGGAACGTAAGCATTCTTTTTTCATGGGGCTTGGCTACTTCATTAGCTTGCTCAGTTAGCTTATGCACATTCTGCTGCATCATTTTGATCACACTCTCAATTTCAGAATCAGCTCTCTGGAAACCTTTTGAGAAAATTCAAGAACAGCAACGGGTGGCAGAAGCTCTGGGTGGTATTCACCAACTTCTGTATGTTCTTCTACAAATCGCATCAGGTAAAGAAAAGTACACAGGTTTTTATAGCTACATACTGCATATGAGAAGAGGCCAGGGGCTTCTTTGTTCTTAGTGTCATCAGAAAGGAAAACCAGATATTCTAAAGGGACATCATAGGCAAGATTGGTAATGCCACCTATGAAGTTGGCCAGTATTTCCCAGTATTAATATATGCAGTATAGTTTACTTCACACTCATTTGATGACTTAAGGCCAAATGGTGTTCCTGTTGAACCATTAGTCATATCATTCTCCTGACTGGTTTGTACATTTCTAAGTGTATGTGCCCTAAAAAAATTCCAAACCCCAAAAAGCTTAAGATGTTTATTTTATATGTATATATCTAGATCTGCATTTGGCAATGAGTGCCAAGTAACTTGAAGGGGGAAGAACAGAGGTTAAGGAAGAGAACAACTGTGCACCATGGAACATAATTGTAAAATACTGTATATATTAAAATCTTCATTACAGGAGCCCAAGATATTTTACTAAAGCCAACTTACAACTTGCTAAGGGAGAAAAATGCCACATAAACAAGAATCCCAAAGTAATCTCACTAAAGGAGCTGAAGTTTTCTTTTCTCTTTATAACATGCTTTGTGGATATGAAGTATAAAACATGAGTAACAGTGATCACTAACAAAACCACAAAAGCTTCAGGTTCCTTTTACTATGAAAATCTTGATCTCTACTAGTAACAGTAAGGATGAGTTGTTTGGTGCTTACAGGCAGAGCTGTGCATTATTACCTGCAGATGAAAAAAAAAAAAACATTTTTTCCCTGCAGGCTTGGAGATGTGGGTAAAATATTTAAATGCACGTTTACAAAATTTGTGGCTTCATCTCACAGCATTTTTAACCGTTTTAGGACAATCATCCTTTAGCCTGCCTTCCCTTATTGGGGTATTCACTTACCATGCCTTCTGAATCGGAGAACATTCACAAAGATTATGTCTTTAAGCTACACTTCAAATCCCATGTGTACTACTTCAGGGCTGAAAGTGAATACACATTTGAAAGGTATGTAGTTTTTCTGCAGGGTGGATTTCTACTAAAGGAAAAAGGGTGGCTTTGTGCCAGGACTTTGCCATGATGATAGCGATCAAAACAGAGTCAACTAAATTGGTGTATTAATGCAGTAAACTCCATTCAGGATGATTAAGAAAAGGACACATCATCATATTCAGCACAATGCTGCAAAAGTAACATGATATACCTACTGGAGGCAGAAATAAGTTAAATATCTGAAACTACCATACACATTGTAAGTAAAAGCAATTATTTACCCCCAAAACATAGTTATTAGTTGGGGGTATCTTACCCATCATGTTGGTTTCTTTTCTTACAATGTCCTGCCTCCTTACTGTGTACATTACATAATCTGTGCATTTCACTAAATGGTTGTAAATGAAAGAAAAAAAGGTGAAAACACCTACTTGCTAATTAATCCCTCAAATTAATTTGTATAAACTAGGTAGTAATCTAGGTTTTTTTGGTTCTTTATACGTAATTAGTTCATTAACAATGAAAGCCCTTTGTTATTTCTGTTGAACTTCTGAGGTCAGAGAAGCTTACCGATTCTTACAAAACCAACCTCATCTGTTTCAGAAGGGAATGAGAAATAAAGCCAGGAGTCACTAGTGTTAATTGGCAAGACCTTTCTGTGTACCATAAAAATAAAAATGTATAATGTACTGTAGCTTAATGGCATGCATTCAGAGTGCATTTTTAAGGAAGCCTTCCTTGGCTATTTATTTTATTTTGCCTTTGTCTTCCCTAAACAGGTGGATGGAGGTGATCCGAAGTGCCACCAGCTCTGCCTCACGCACTCGTGTTTTAAGTCATAAAGAGTCTCATGTGTATTGACAGCTAAACACTCACCACACTGATTGTTCCCACGAGCTGCTGCTTTTCTAGAGGACATCTGAATTTATTCTCTCCCTTAACCTTTAGTAAAAACTTACATTTGTTTAAGAGCAAAAAATGATTTTACAGCAACCTTCATGATCCCCTCAGCAACTGTTTAAACTTAAGTTTCTCCATCAGCCCAGTGGCAGCAGTTAGTTTCCTGTCCTGTATTTTGTCATTCTGTGTGCTGTTTCTAGCTTGTGCCAGTATTAAAATATTGTCCTTATTAGAGTGCCAAAAGACATTTTCTTGCCTCAAAAG